TGGCTTTCATACCAGGAATCGCTTCTATAATTGTGTTTTCAAGATAACCATTTGTTAGATAACTCTCATCTGTAAAAACACAGCTCATCAAAGTTAGTTTCTAGCACACAAAACTATCCACCATGGGAGGGTGGACAGAGCCAAACATCCGTGTACAAAAGCCTCATCACCTTAGGCTTAGAACACAAGAAATACTCTAAAGCTCTTATAAACAAACTGAAAAGGATTGTGGAATTGTACACTGTAACACTAGAGACCTCATAAAAAATCCTTTAATAAAAGTACCTTTAAGTGGAACGAAGCCCTTCTCCTTGAGTCCATAAAGTTGTTTGTATCCCATATATCCACATGCGGACATGGTGACGAACATCACAACTGGGAGTCCAGCTTCTTCAGCAGCTGTGATGGTGAACGGCATGAAAGCATCAGAAACTATGCAAGTCACCGGAGGATTCACAAGTTTTGCAAGAAGTTCCTTAAACGGAGCTAACATATTATTTTGAACAGAAACTGTAATAGAATCTATTTCTTGCGTGGCATCAATATCTGAAGAAGGGATGCCATCAGGGATGGTTTCAAAACAAAAGTGGGGCAAGCCGTCAAGGGCATTAGGGCCTCTTGATTTCAAGAAACGTTTGTGGTTAAACTCTGTGTTGACAAATGTTATGTGAAAACCTTTGAAGTGCAGAAGTTTTGCCAATTTAAGCATGGTTTTTATATGGCTTTGTAGTGGACACGGGATCAAAACTATATGAGGCAAGTAATTAGCTTCTTGCTTGGATCCCATCCTCCACTACTTTCTCTATGCCCGCTTTCTCTCTGTCTCTCTCTCTCTCTCTCTTGGCAATGGACTCTGCGTGCTTGCTTGTTGCCTGCTGTAGCAAGTCATGCTTTCCTACCGCACTTGTTAATTAACACCTGATATCCCTGAAATGTTGACTATAATGATAACTAATTGATTTAAGAAGAGCTTAATGGTTGGAAAAAGAGAAGGAGAAGGTAGCTGGGGGCGTTATGGGAAAGTGACAACCCATTTTAGTAGCTGAAATATTAAGTTGCGTATATGCTTGTTTGGTACCCTATAGTTTTTTTAAAAAAAAAAAAAAAATACTAAAAATATTAATTTAATATTCTAAAATAAAAAGACTCTCAAACAGTTAATTATTCATTTTCATATATTTTTATTTAAATTTATTTAAAAATGTGGTTGTGGTTATTTTTTAAATATTTTTTATTTAAAAATTTATTAAAATAATTTTTTTTATTTTTTAAAAATATTTTTAATATTAACATATCAAAACAATCTAAAAATATTAATTTAAAATAAATAAATAAATTTTTTTTAATTTTTTTAAAAATATTTTTAAAATATAAAAATAAGCTCAACAAAAACAATTAAACTTACCATTAAAAAAAATCAAGTGGCTATAATTAAAAACTGTTCAGCATCTATCATGATCTAAGCAAGGCATTGACGGTATTAAAATACGTGATTCTGTAAGATTTTTCGTTCATGCGAATGAGGTTAAAAAATATCAATAGCTTTGTGACCGTTCATTCTCCCCTGGGTACATATATAAAAAAAAAAATTAGGAGATAGACTTAATAATTAAGAAAGAAAGTTTGTTACGTTTCTTGACTTCCTAATTTCAAATCTTAGTAGAGAAATACTACCACCACCATCTTCATCATCATCAATAATAATAATATATTATTATTATTATTTGTCATCTTTTATTATTTATGAGGCTGTTAATATTTGACGGCAGCTAACTTGTGAGTGGCATTTAGGTCCTTCAGTGCTTAAATAATGAAACAAAACGGTGCATTTTCAAGAAACTTTGACAGAAAATACAAATAATAGATATATCTCTATAAAGATCCAATCGAGAAGTGTTTGAGATTCTAGGACCAATTGAAAAGGCATTCTAATTCTAGGATGAAACTGAGAATTGGATAATATGTTAAATAAATCATGGTTTTTTTACATTACGTTTCAAACTTTATTTTTTAAATTAAAATAACTTATTTTTTATTTAAAGAAATTTTTTTTAAAATAACTTATTTTTTATTTAAAGAAATTTATTTTTTTATTTTTATTTTACATGCTAAAATCAATAAGAAAAATAAAATATTAGCCCTATTTGATTGGTAGGAAAAACAAACGTCAATCAAGTCAGTAATAATTATGTCAGGTGAGGTTGTCATGAGTTGGGTTACAACATGTTTGACAGGTGGATTATGCGAAATTTAATTTCAAACAAATACAAGAGGGCTTTTCTTTTTCTTTTTCTTTTTCTGCGAGAATGAACGAGGTTGTTTAATTTTGTTTTTATTGTTTTCTAACAATTAAATTGCTGTTTAGGAGTGTAGTTTGACAATATTTTTATAAATGTTTATTTTTTTAATATTTTTATATCATTTTAAATAGTTGATTTTAAAAATAAAAAAAACATTATTTTATTATATTTTTAAATAAAAAATATTATTAAAAACAATCCATACAATACTCTCCATCATACATTGAATCTAGTTATCGTATCATTGCAACAATCATGAAAAAAAAAATAATATCAAATGCTATATTATATTAGTACATAAATTATCATTTCATCGCATCATTTGATTTTTTTTCAGCACCCTCTACCTTCTCCAACGGCGCATGATTGCTGGTTATTAATAGATTGGGTTTTTTCTCTTTTTCTTTTTTATATTGGGTGTTGGCAATGTAAAAAATTATTTTACATATTTAATTTTATTTTTCTTTGATCTAGTCTTTTTTTTATTAATCACAATTATTCTACTTGCATTGATTATTTATAATTAGATTTTTTTTATTTTATCCCTATTGGTTTAATTTTGTTAATTTTTTTTTAAAATTAATTTTTATTATTTTAATTACTGTTTTTTAGTTTTGAATCATTTTCTTGATTGAATTGTTTTTGTTCAATTCAATCCCAAAGCATTTATTTTTATTTTTATATCAAATTTGGTCTTAATTCTTTTAATTTTTAGTTTTAAATTTAATTTTTTTTTCAATTTCATTCCTTAACATCTGATTTCATTTAATTTTTCCTAAACATTTAATTTGATTTGATTTTTATGTTTAATTTGATTTTGATTCTTTTAGTTGCTAATATTTTATTTATTTAAATAATAAGTTTAGTAAATACAATCGAATAAAATATCTTATTTTTGTAATTTTTTCTTTGTTATTATTGATGATTTTTTATTTTGTTGGTTTTAGTTACTAATATTTTTAAATACCCAGGATTAGAATTCATAAAAAAATTTAGGATTGAAATTCAATTCCTTCTTTTAACTAAACAGTCTGGCGGTATTCTTAATATTTTTTTTTTGTATAGCAAGATTAAATCTAAGTATGCGTATCTTCCCTTGTATTTCCAACATGCAAGTGTATGCTCGTTAGTATATCTTGTATTGACTGGTATTTTTCTGTGATGTAGTTTTTGAAAATGACTGCTCACCTGTAGAAATGGCTAGACATGCGCGTGCATCAAAAAAGCGCGCGTGCATCTATCCCAGGGATGGAGCCATACCCTGTCCATCAATGCATTTAATTTGATGTAGATAGAGATTCTTGTACGATGGCCAAACAGCCGTTACGATTTTTGTCGTGGACTATACAATGTCGTACCTTTCATTAAATATAAGATGTGACATCAAATTTATTAAGAGAATATGATTAAGGTACGGATTGAAAGTGCGGTAACACATTTTTCCAGTTTTTTTATTTTTTTAAATTAATTAATATATTTAAATTATTTTGATATGTGATGTAAAAAATATAAAAAATTATTTTAATATATTTTAAATACCAAAATATTATGAAAAACAATATCATATTCAAGTAGACAACATGAATCTGTGGCTATGTGAACGAAAAGTTATTTACGCATGATTGAAGTGTCGATTTCTTATGTGATTTATTGGTTGTATATATAAAGATAAAAATAATTTTTTTATGAGAAATATCATTGTAGAGACAATTAAAAAAATAAAAAGATAAAGACATATTCTCTAAAACTAAATAATAAGAAACAATAAAACAACAAGAAATTTCAATATTCTAAAAATAATTGGAATTAATTAAAAAATAGATTGTATTAACTGAAACTCATTAAATAACAACACAAAATCACGAGGTTTTTTAATAATAACCAGAGGCGTTTTTATTTTACAAAATTTTTTATTGAAAATAATTATTTTCTTAAAAAATAAGTAACTTTCTAAAGTGGATGGCGATTTTTATTGGACAAGTCACTAAAAAGTTTCCCTCTCAATTTTCTTTTTTATTTTTCAAATTAAATTAAAAGAAATCACCCAATTTATTTATTTATTTTTAATAGTTTGAACGGTTCATATGAATTTATATGATCTGATGGTGTCTTTTTTTAATATAAAACCTTGAGCATTTTTCCAAAAGGTTGATCAGAGACCGTAAGTGGTTACCTTGCCTTGTAGTCAAAGTTCTTGTTCCCAGGAAGATGGAGATGGAAAAAAAAGAAGTAAAATATGCAATGAATTTGGATATAGAGATAGATAGGATATCCCTTTACCTGTAAACATTGCACCATGGTGTAAAATATTTTTTAAAAATATTTTTTTAATTAAAAATATAGTAAAATAATATATTTTTTAATATTTATATATTAAAACTATATGGAAAAATCTATAAACATCAATTTAATTCTTTTTAAATAAAAAACTTAAAACTTTTTTTTTAAAGCAAAGCTATCCCGATGTCAAACTTCCCATTATCACTTAAAAATGGGCCGGACCAATTATTATCAAGCCCAATTAAACCAAACAGTGTGTGTCTATATATATATATATTAAAAAAAAAGAAAGTGTTATGGAAACTACTTCCTTTTATCACTTAACATGGGCCGGACCTAACCTCATTAAGACCAATTAAACCAACCAGCCTTTGAATAATTTCGAGCGGTTTCTTCCTTAACAATTTGGCGCCACTTTGTTTTGCACATCCAAATTCCCTTCTCTCTCCCTAAACCACCAAACGTCTTCTCGTCCGCCACCAAAATGGTTTTCCTCCACCAACAAAACTCCTCCCGGAAACGACCTTCCACCTTTATTCCTCCATTTCCACAACCGAAAATCCCCAAATCCTCCACTACCACCACCGAAAAACCACCACAATCTCAAAACGAAGCCGTCGAGGACAATCAAGTATCATCATCCTCATCGTCATCATCCGTTGATAAATTGGTGTCGATTCTAGCTGATGCTGGCTGTACTTTGATCAATCCTTCAGGTCCACCTTGCCTTCCTTCTGATCATCATAAGTTCCGGAACCATCTCAACCGTCTATTTTCTTCTTCCGATACCGCCCCTGCTCTCCGCTCCGATTTCCTTTCCGGATTCTCCTCTTACATTAATCTTCAACAGAACTTCCGCAGGTCAGTTTCGTTCACTCACAAATTCTGCTTTATTTCACGATTTAAATAAAAAGCTCCCTGGAATGTTCCTGTGCGATTGCGTGGGCCCCACCGTGGTGCCCTTAATTACGTCATTAACATTTAATTAAGTTTTAATTATTATTAATGTTAATTAATCAGGGTTCTTGCATTTTCGAAACGAGATGGTTTTGGCGCCAAGAGAAGTGAGAGCTTAGTAAGGCAGCTCTTGCTAGTTCCAGCAATTCAGCTAGAACTCCAGATCATGCTCCTCGAGAAACTTCCGGAATATTTCGACACGAATTCCGTAGATTCTAGAACAACACTGTCGCTCGAAGATGATGTAGCCAGGGTGATAATTGATCAATTCCGGTGGCTTGATTTTGTTGTTGATCCTAATACATTCACGGATAAGTTATTGCAAGTTGTTTCAATCTGTCCTTTACATTTGAAGAAAGAGATTATCGGTTCTTTGCCGGAGATCATCGGTGATCAAAGTAGTAATAATGCTGTCGTTGATTCGTTAGACCAAATGCTACAGGAGGATTCTGAGATCATTGTGCCGGTGCTTGATGCGTTTTCGAATCTTAATCTGGATGAAATGTTGCAAGAACAGGTGCATTGTTATGTTTTTGGGAAATAGAGGCTTGGGATTGAGCATTTTATGTTTTTGTTTGATTTGTTTTGATAGTGATAATTTCTTGTTTTGAAGGTTATTTCGACAGCTTTATCATGTATTAGGACAATAGATGGGGAGCATATTCCGAATTTGCTTAGTTTTTTATTGCTTTCGGCTACACCTCAAAATGTTCGAAGAATAATATCGCAGATTCGTCAGCAGCTAAAATTTGTGGGAATGTCGAATAGTTCTCGTTCAAGTCAGCAGCGGAAACTTAAAGGGAAGTCACTTGTGGATAATACGGAGGCGTCTATTCTTGATGCTTTGAGATCAAGTCTTTTATTTAAGAATGTAAGTTTCCTTTGCAGTATTGCCAATGTAAGCATATGTGTATGCTATTTGTCTATATGACCTTGTTCCATTTGCTGCTGTTTAGATGCTGTGTCAGGAGGTTTTGAAAGAATTGAGTAGTGTTGAGAAACCTCAGGATCACAAGGTCATAGACATATGGCTTCTTATATTGATATACATGAATGGCAAGTCCATGCAAAAGAGTGTTGAGAAGATTCTCAAGAAGAAAATTGTTGAAAGTTGTATTCGGGAAGATATGATTGACCAGTGTATTTGTGGCAACAAAGAACTGGTTCAGGTATAAGCTGCCGTCATTTTGAATGAAGAAGCATTTCACATTAACAAGCTAGGATCAGAATTAAGGAATGGTTTTGGAATTCCTTTTGATTTCTGTCTTATGTTTATTGACTAGGATTATTTTCCGTGGTTTCTTTCATTGTCTGAGCACTTATTGGCATGTAAAGAACAAAAAGCAAGGGATTTTGGCATTCACATTTATATTTGCTTGTTTGGAGAGTTTGGTGATACTTATTTTCGACAAGAGGTCAGTAGGCTGCTGAAATATTTCTTGCCAGTGATTTAGTAATTGAAAAGCATACCGTGGGAAGTCTTATTCCAGCTTTTTTGCAGGTTCTTGGGGCACTTGTGACTCATGTTGGATCTGGTGTTAGTTTCGAAGTAAACTCTTCTCTAAACACCTTGGCTTTGCTGGCCTCCAAGTATCCGCAGGAGTTGATTCCACTTTCTGCTCATATAAATGGTATTTATCCACTCTTGTGTCACATGAATATATGCTGTTACTAGATGCTGATTTCTCTTGATGTGTTTAATGTTCTGCCTTAGGTATACTGGATTACTTGGAAGGATTTTGCATGGAACATCTACACAAGGTCTGTAGATTTTTTCTTTTCTTGGCATTATAAGTTGAAATGCTGATAGTTTGTGCCAGTTTCACTAGCTTTCTGTGGTGCAGGTTTATGAAGTTTTCAGCAAGCTGGCTTTGGCAGCTCGATCTAGGACATATTGTTCTGGATCTTCAATTGCAGATGAACTGTTGATGATAATCCGAAAGCAGGTATTTTCCATACCTTTTTCATTTATCCTTCTCTTTCCGTCCCCTTTTAGCTGCTTACAAATTTCCTCTAGTCTTTATCCATGTTCTCTTGGTTGTCATGACTCATATTGGATAGGTCAGCCATCCAGATATGAAGTACAAAAAGATGGGCCTAATCGGGACTCTGAAAGTAGTCTCTTGTCTTGGAGACATAAATAATGCTACCGGGGCGTCTCCTTCTCAGGTAGGATTCACTGTTTCCTCCACTGCAAGATTATGGCTGCTTATTTATTTGCTGCTGATGTTTTTTCCAACTGTAAATAATGCTCCATGTTTGCTCCCCTGCTATTGAATTTGCAATGCTTTCCTATGTTACAAAGGAAATTAATCTTTTTTTTTACTATGTTTAATTTCTCATGTTTTAATGAAGATTTTTTATTCCAGAATGCCTATTCACCGTTATTGAATGTTACTTGCACAGAAATCTAACTGTGAGGAGGCTTTGGAACTCTTGAGAACATCTCTGGATTCTTGCAAGCAGTTGTGCTTACCATTGGTTCTCTTTTATGATGAACTGACTACAATAATGCTTCATAAGAAACTTCAGCCAGAAATTGTAGAATGGTCAGTGACTACAACCACATAATTCTGGAAACTAAGCTTGTCAGTCATTTAAAACAGTATCAAATGCCTGATTATATTGGAGAAAATTGTATGTATTTCGTAGGGTTGGCAAACATGCTGGAGAGTTTGAGTCTAAGTTTCTATCTGATCTCCAAGGTGGACAATTGCCAGGCGAGGACTCATATTGTGGTTTAGAAGGTGAATTAGCATTGCAATCTCTTTCTTGATTTCTCATATTTTTTCCCTTGAAGTTAATGGGAAATCAGGACATGTATAACTTTCCTTTTACAGGGGAACTGTGGATGAACCTGGATGGTGACATATCTCCTATTTGTTTGAGCATTTTGTCATTGTCGTCCTCTTCCTTGCAGTAATGTTCTGGCCGTCCTTGCCCTTTTATTTAGTACTTGTTTAAATGTTTGTGCCTGTTGGCTTACAAGCTTGTTCTGCCCAGGTCTACGTCTTCATTGCAAGTCCTTCCTGCTAACTTCCTCTTACTATCCACTGTAAGTTCTTGGACTTTAGGCATTAGAACTAAAAGTTTAGAAGGAAGCACATGGATGTTTTCTTTTTGGTCTTTCAGGTTGAGAGATTGACAAATCAGGGATCTCTTGGTGGAATTGATGCACTACTTGGCTGCCCTTTGCACCTTCCCTCCTCTAAGGTGAGGCCAGGGAGATGCTTTTACTAACATCATCGAGAAGCAATTCTTTCTTCATATGTATGGATTTTGGTTATTTTAGCATCCAAGCGTTGTTTTAAGTACAAGCAGAATTTTTTGCCTTTGCTCATGTTTCAAGGAGGGCAAGGAAGTTAAAAAAAAACTAGAATATTATGTCAAGCAGGAAAAAGCATGGTTTCATTGAACAGGTTTTGAAGTGCTTTGCTTCGAAAGTGGTATCTAGCAAATCTTTGTAGCTCATTGTGTCCAGAGCAAGCAGTACACATAGTGCTCCTGACGCTTGATACTTTGGAACTTCTGATGACCTTTGCCACTGTGTCACCTACTTTGTGATTTCCTTCAGCTTTGTACATTTACATAGTTTGGCAATGCTGTTGGTCTTGACCGATTTGCTGATACCTGTATCTTGTGCAATGTCAGTACTTTTCTGAAGCAGGCTGGCAATCATTGACAGATAAGCAGAAACAGATTGTATGCCTTTCTCTTTATTATGCGGCAAACTGGATAAGGGAACTGGTAATATTTTTTTAGTTTGATATTGTCATCTTCTGGGCTGAGCCAGTTTTTTTTTGAATAATTTTCTAAATGTTCTGTTCTGTAATGTATACAATTTTGCTTGTAGCTCAATGCCTTTTGCACACAAGTTACTGGAAGATTTGAATGCACCAGTCAGACTACAAAAATGGATATAATTGTCAAGCTATTGAAGCGACTCAGGAACTTAGTGTAAACTCTAGTGCTCTCAATTACTTGATTATTCATATGCCATTTTTAATCACATCTTTTTACATTAAAGCCTTGGTGTAATTCTCTGTACAGTTCCACAATAGCACCCTAGGTGGATTGGCCTTTTTAATGCTGTTCTGTGAACAGTAATAAGAACGACGTAATAAAGGCACACTGTAAAGTGACAGATGAAAGCCTAGAAAAGGGATAGCTCTTACTTGATCAATAATTTGGTTGACTATGATTTCTATAGTTAGTCATGCAAGCAATCCTAGGCATTCCATACACTTAGAGGTAAAAAACTGGAATCTTTACATCATTTGTTACAACTGCATTTTCTTATTACACCAATGACTGTCCCACTTACTAGTCGAAGTGTATTTGATTCATGCCAGGAGGTATGCAATTTTCTATTGTAGTTTTTTATCAGTTTCATTCTGAAAGCATTATGTTAACTTTGCACTGATGAGAATAATATTGAAATGCAGATTTCTGGAAACTTTACTAAACAACTGCATCAAATGCCATCCCCTGTCTCTGCCAGAGCTCCATCTTCAAGTTGATAATTCTGGAACTTTACTTTTAAACAAAGCTAACAATAGGGTACATTTAGAAAAAAACGGCGAACATAAGAAAACACAAGACAACAATTGTCCAAAGAAGAGAAGACATAAAAAGACATCAAAAGAATCAAGTTCGGATCCAAATGGTAAACACCAGCAGCCAACAATATTGGATGTGTTAAGGAAAGCAGGAGCTGTAACAAGCCAAGATGTCTCAAATGAGGATTCTACTAGTCAATCTTCAAAGGGCCAAACATTTATTCCTGCAGATCAAGATTCCTGTAATTCAACTGGGCTAATAAGTTTAGAAGTTTCTGCAGTTGCCAAGGCTCTAGAAGCACAACGATTTAAATTCAGGCAGCTCCATGTCCAATGTTACTCCCTTTTGATGTTTTCAAATGTGAGTACACAATAATGCTGCTGAAAATCATGATTCTCATTTCATTTAGTTTTTACATGCTGCTTGCTGTGGGATTTCCATTTCATATGTAGGCTATCAACTGCAGGATCTTGTGGAATGGTATTTTTCTCAACGTTTTATTCAGTTTGTCTGTTCTGAAATTGCATTTTGTACTTGGAAGGAATGTAAAGGAGAATGGTTTTATTTCAACTTATTTAAGCACTTGTATGCAAGAATGTTACTAAATTAGATATTACATATGATATCAAACATCTATCTGTTTCATGAGATGGATGGTCTTCTGCATGTGTTATCCTTTCTTCAATTTTCTCTCTCTCTAGAGTTTCTAGACTAATATTACTGTGTTAGAGTGTTATGCTGGTATTCGCTCACAGTCCCACACTCTGATTCCCATTCCATCTTGTTCCTTGGAAGGGTGTTCATTCACGAGGCATGATAATTTCTATCCGAAGTCAGCATCTTGGTTTCTAATCTAGTCTCATGCTGTTGTTTAATACATGTGTAGTATATTTAAACAAGCACTGTTGGAACTCATTTAATGTGTCTTTTCTTATGCAGAATCAAAAGTCCTGTTGCCATGATCCTGCAGTTGAGGTACAAATCTAATTGTACAGAGATTGTGGTAATTTGTTTTTTTCAATAGGTTATTAATGTCATTAAACATGCTCAATGATTTATTTCCTGTGCTAGTTACCCCTCTATCTATACCTTTTGCGTGATCTTCACAGCAAGCTGGATTACTTTATGCCTCCGCGAAAACAATTCTTGGCCACATGCTTGAGTGCTCCTGCAGGTTTTACTAGAATGACCTTGCAAGAGTTCTTGAGCAATGTTAGGCCGCTCTTTCCAAATCTGAGAAGGCGTTTTGATAATGCCATTTTTGTTCTTAAAGAAGGTTAGTTTATGCTGCTTAATTTGGTTGGATAAATGGTACTGTGTTCTTGTTATCTAAGAGCATGTTCTTTGCAGGTGATGGAACTTGCGAAGATCACTGGAATGTTCACTCTGCTTCTGCTGGAAATCCAGAAGTAGCCAGTATTGTGTTTTCAAAATCTGTAGTTTCGACTTTGGTATTTAAAGAAGTACTTCATAGTTTTAGTAAGGTATTTTTTTTTTTTACTCTTGCTCTCTCTCAGACCAGTCACCAATACATAATTGATTCTTTTTTTCTTTTGAAAATAACGCAAGCAACCTTTCTGAGTTTCTATTGTTCAAACTCGTTTCTGCCCTTTTCCTATTTGCAGATGCTAAACCTTATTGACGTTCAAATGCACAAATCAGTTCTATCAGATCTTCTTGAAGCCTTTCAACCAAGAGAAATATCCGAGAATGTGTTTTCTGGCCTACCGTGCAGCCCTTCACCTGGGACAATAGAATATTTGTATCTTGGAGCTTCATCATTTATTGAAGATGCATTAGATATGGGTATAGATTCTATCTTGTTTTGAAGCGGTGTATAATGTGGTCAAGAGTTATCCTTTGTAATTATAATTACTTCTCCTTGCAGCATGTTCATTTTCCTTTATGCTGGCCTCAGAATCTCTTAGTACCCTAGAATCAGTTGTAACCTCTGTCCAGACTGTACTGGATAAATCGGAGACTAATGGTAAAGGTATACACTCACCATCTATTCACAGGATCCTTCCAAACTTGCGCAGCAGACTTGGAACTTCTGCCCAGAAGCTTTTAAGTCACAACTGGGATAGTGAAAATCTTGAGAATGGTTGGAAGAACAAAGTATGACCATCTATCTCATGCAATTTGGCTCTTTGTTTCAGTAGTCTTTAATAGTTAATGTAACAAGTAATATGCTTAGATGACGCTTAATGTTCTGATGTTGTCAGGGGGAAATTGTACAAAAGATTTTGCAGATTTACCTGGAGAATAGTGAATCTAAATCTGATTTGTTGGATAAGCTTGCCTGCTCTATTTTGCCTACGGTATGTGAATATATTCTATACTTATCTTCTGCTAACTCATTATCTTTGCATCTGACCATCCTAGTACAATGTCCTTCTAGATAGTAAAATTGTTATCCCTCTAACTTGGAGTTGAAAGTGTGATTTTAAGAGTTCTTTTAAGAGTTCACCGTTTGGAATTTGGAACCTGAATTTGAAACAGTTAGGATAAAACACTGACTAGCTTGAAACATGGATGGAATGTCCAACTTTGCATTGCACCAGACAACATGATTTTGCTGCTTTCCAAGTTATCTGTAAATGGAATTCACTTTCTTACTAGGTTTCTTCATCCGGAACAACAGTAGAAGATGATCATGATGGTTTCCCAACTCTATGCAATGCAACATTTGTTGTGTGGTGCCGGGTGCTGGTATGGTTTCCAATGGTAGCAGTATTGTAGATTTCATCTAATGTTTCTGTTGTTAATTGGAAATGTTTACATAAGGTGGTTTTATGTGCAGCATGAAGGGAACATCGCTATTATTAACAAATTGGTGAGTTTTAAATACATAAGATTGAAATAGAGAAAAATTCACCTGGAATTAGATTTTAGCTTCTTATTCTTTCCTGTCTTGTGATTAGGTTAAGGAAATTGCTCTCCTTATGAAACCCAGAGCTGCTGTTCAGATTGAAGCTGTTGAAAAGCATTTGATCAAAATACAGAAATCTGTGAAAGTTGTCGTATCACTAGTTAACTTGTGCAGAACTCATGACAAGGTAGGAAAGCAGAAACGGGGAGGGCCTTTGCTAATATTTAGGTTCTAATGTGAAGTGGGAAATGGCTGACATGCTAAATTAATGGGGCAGGTGACTGTGCGTGCCATGTCTGTCAAGTATGGTGGGAAGTTTGTGGACTCCTTCCTAAAAGGTATATCTGTGACGCTTTCTTTTTGCAGTAGAATCTGAGATGTAGTTGCTTGGAGTACTGAATTTTAAACCTTCAAACAGTTTTTGATTTCTTACAGGCTCACTTTCAAACACACAATGAACTCATAATCCAATTGGTAAGATCAGGTCCACTGAACAACTTCAAAGGTGGGTGATTACTATAAAAATCTTAGATTGGTGCTAAGCTCCTCCTTTGTGCTTCCTTTAGGTAACAGAGCTTCAAAAGGCCACAAGAACAATACAGACTCTATGTTCTGAAGCAAAGGTCAGTTTGCCATGTTCATATCTATTTTTGAGTCAATAATCTTGCAACATAAGATCAGTCTGAATTTTGTTGCTCTTTGTGAAGGGCTCGAAACAAACAGCTATCACTAGCAAAATTCCTGCTACAAAGCGTTCAATGGAACGGTTTTTGTTCCGCGTCAAGGCTCTTCTTCACTTGACATCAAGTGGATGCACTTTTTGGATGGGTATGGAAGTTTTATAATTGTTTAATTTATATACCCTTATAGCATTTTCCAGAATTCAGTAACATCTGCAATAAACATCAACTAAGCTGTCAGAATCCCATCTAAAGCTCTTTCCTAGTTAACTATATACACAACTTTAATTGGGCAATTGGAAGTTATTTGGCTAATTCGGTCTTGTAACTAAAATGTCAATCAAAAGTTTTAAAATTTAACCACCCTGGAACTTGGATATCGTTTTAACTTTCCCCTTGGAATGGTTTATCTTGTTTTAATTAATTGAGCAGTTCAAGCAGCAGTATGTACCCCGAGCTTCTATTGGAATTACTTGGTCAATTCTTAGAATGAGGGTCAGGGGCCGGGGCAGTTTGATTTCCCTTAGTTAAGGTTGGAAATTTGAGACTTTGTGTTAGGGAGCTGCCTGTGTTCAGGGAGATGCATGAGCCTACAGCATGAGAGCTTACACACAGGGATAGTCACCACCTCCAACCCAAAAGTCTGCTTGAGTTAGGGGTGATGCATGGCCTTTGTGTCCGTGTTGGGCATGCAAGCACTAGGGCTTACACGTTAGGATGAACAACACCTCCAACCCAAGAGTCTATTCGAGCATAGGCAGCTCTATAAAATATTGGTATCATAACCAAAGATTTTGCTTTTCAATGACTTTGTTTGCTTCCACTGGAGGTGGAGTTGTGTTTAATGGGTTGGGCTTGCATGTAAAAAGAATGGAGTTGTGTTCAATGGGTTGGGCTTGCATGTAAGAAGAAGATTTGTTGGGTGCACCTTGTCAAATAATCATTTCAACCAAATAAGTTAAACTGTTAGATGTGATTCTAAAATATGATTTATATAATTTTCCAACACACTTTCTCAAATGAAAGCTTTTTGAATTTGAAACTTATGCAGACTCATACTATTTTATATTTAATTTTTATTAAATAGAATGAGAATTGAGAGATTCGAACTTGTGATTGTTTGATCAATCTAATAGCTTAAGTTATTATTTATATAATTTTTCAACACACATGTAAATAGTAATTATCTCGTATTAAAAAGGAACGGGAAAAGAAACATATACAAAATGAGCCCTTGACCTGGTAAGAAACATATACAAAATGAGCCCTTGACCTTATGTGTAAAAAGAAACACTACCGTCTAGGTGTTTAGTTTAGAGGTGGTGTCCATCCTTATGTGTAAACTCCCGTGTACTAAGACACAAACACAACTCCCTAACACATTGCATCAATTTGAAAACAACTATTTGATTTGAAATTGATGAATGGTCACTTTATTTACAAATTGACATCATAGATGAATTGGAGTGCTCATATTTTATGAAAAGTTTCATAATTTGAAACGAGTGGTCGGATGAAGCTTTTAGACAACCATTGGAGAGCATGAATTTGTGTTGTAAGCCTTTACATGGCTTCTTATAAATGACATTCCGGCTGTTATACACAGAATTTTATTGGTGATATTTCTTTAGTTGGCAAAAATATAACTATAGCTGAACTAACTTATATACTATCCTTGTGTTATGATAGGAAATTTGAAACATAAAGATTTGACGGGTCAGGTTGTAAGTTCACAGGCCTATGCAGATGATCAGAACAATAATGTTGATGAAGATCTGGTAGAAGCTGTTGAGGAGGACCACCCAGTTAGTGTTGCTAGTGAGGATAGAGAAACAGAATAAGTGCCTTTTCTATCCAAGGGTTAAGTGGTTAAGACTGGAGCCAATATCAAGTATTTTTCTGCAAAAAATCTCAGAGTTCAAGACATGATGTGGTTTGCACATCCCAGCAAAATATGGACGAAAAGGAAAAGGAGGTAAGATTTAAGAACACAAACTCCTAATCCATTGTAAATGTGTTATAAATTGAAGATTCCAGTAAGTCATACCATCAATCTGTGATAAATTTATTTTTCATTTGATATAATTTGAGTATCTTCTACCAGTTTCAGCTGCATTGATTACATGATTTCAATTCAATAAATCTATTACTAGATAATACTGCTATAATCATATAGCTAATCTTCGGAGTATAGATAAAAAATTATTGACTCTAGAAATATATGATTTTTAAATTATATTTACTTTATGCAAATACCAATATCTTATGTTACAATAGGGTGGAGTTACATAAATAGATTTATAAAAGAAAGAAGGTGGTTCATTAATCTGGATATTAATAATACATTTATTGCCCCATATCCTAAAGTTTAAGAAAGTCACTCCTTGATTGTGCCATTCGAATTTTGGTAGAGAACAGAACTGATCACAAGCCTGGGCCGGAACATTTTCACCTAAGCCTGATCCTATATTCTGACCTGTCTAAGACCCATGCTTTAAGCTCGGACGCAGACCTGTCCAGGCCCTAGAATCCTTGGGTCATACCTTAGGCCTCTTTGGCAAATAATTTAAGAGAACAGATCACCGTGGATCACTAAAAATGTTCAAAATTTCGTTGAAATATGAGAATATTGATTAAATCCAAAAAGTGTCTTCTAGGTAGATGCTCCGGCCTCACGGATTCAATATCATCTTGGTCGTTTTTTAAGGACCCCAACCCATAGTTATTAATCTCGGAAAAAATTGTGATTTGAAGCCTCATTTGGGTCATCTTTCAAGTTAATAAAAAAAAAAAGTAATATGATAAAGTTTAGTTGAGCTCATTATATTTTTAATGATCTGATTAACAATTAAAGATTATTTGAAGTTAATTTTAATAATTTAAAAAAAAAATGAAATGACACTTTTTTTAATTAAAATAATTGATCTAGTGATCTAGGTTTTTTCCTTGAACATTCTTCGAGTCGAGAGGGGTCTAAAAGCCGTATCCTAACCTATAATTTTAGTTGTTACATTTGGTTAGGAAATGAGATTGAATGGGATGAGATGAACGAGATGAGGCAATGTTGGCTCTTTTATAGAAGGGCGGACAAAATTAAAGCTATGAGTGATGATAGAAACACTTTTTTTGTTGGTCGAAGTAAAGATACCCTATTTTGTCATGTCCAGTCTGATATATCAAATGCTACTTACAAATTAAAAAATCACTCGACGGGAATATATGGTGATGAAAATAAAAATAAAAATAAAAATAAAAATAAAAATTTGAAGAAATTACCTGCCACAGATATCACCGTTTAATGGAGTCACGTTCAGATTACACTCTTTGGAAAGCTCCAACATGGTATTTTCCCTGGAGTTATCGGTGTAGAAATATGCTTCCTTGTAACTCTTGCACCCCAATGGCTTCTCATCTGGTTTAGAAGCCAGGTTCATGATCATCTTAGCTCCATTACAGCTTGATATTGATGGCTTTGGATCAATGCCTCACAAGTAATGGTAGCACTCTCTAAGAACCATAGCAACACGGTCACATTCAAATACATCTGGTCTGAGTCCTTGGGCTGGAACCATGGTTCATTGTGCTACTTCTAGACCAAGAAAGATAAAGGCGGCATAGACGATTGCCTGGTGGAGTACTTGCTTATGCTTGGTGAGATACGCTTGGAGGTCGGAGAATATATACATAGTTGGCACATGGAAGATGATATCATGGTTGTTATTTTGTTAAAGGTAACTATTTGTTAACAACGCAAGGTGTCAGCTACAACACCAGAAGGTGTCCTTTGCGAGGAGGCCTTCTTCAATCCCTAGTAAAGCACAGTCGATGCTGAACCGTATGCCTAGAACATTCGATTCATTGCCTATGGTCGAATTTCTTTCTAACATCCAGTTTAACCCAGGGGTTTCAATGTCTTTGAAGGAACTGCCTTTGTCTCATCTGCCAAACACAAGTACAAGTAAGGTCTTCTTGTCTTGTCCAGTCCCATGGTCCAAGTATTTGTAAGCTTGTAAACCTGTAATTCTCTAATCAAGCGTGACAATGGTGATTAATCTCTTAACACTGTACCAGAATTTGAGGACACAAACCAGGAAACTTGGCACCATAAAGAAATAAACGTGTCTATCAGACAACAATTCGATGCATAGATAAATTAATTGTAAACCCTGTATTATTTTCTAGAAATACAATAGAACTACTGATTTCGGTTATGCAGCTTTTACGAGGGAGCAATATTGCAGACTGCATAATATATAGGCAGGTAATCATTATGCAAAATGCGTCTCTATGGCTCCTTTTCATGTAGAATGCTTCTCCACCGATTTCTTTCTCATTGTCCAGAATGCTGCGAAGTATCGATTCTGAGAAAAAGATGATATCAATATGTTCACAAATACCAGGCCAGCACGAGCTGAAAGTAAATTCTACGACTACAAAAATCAGACTTGATTAGCAAAAGGGATTTCAGTGGCTGTCATTGGGCTAAGAAAGATAAGATGAATAGCATGCTTGGGACTGCTGAACATTGGACACAGGTATGGACATTGGTTATTCATACTTGTTAGCCACAACTGCAAGCCTCTCGAGTCTTTAATTCAACATTTTTAAACTCCATCTTAGCCCTTAATAACTTGCAATTGACACTGGTCGTTCTATAAATACTGCAAGGTTAATATTTCGAGGGAGAGATATACAGGATTAGCTGCTCATTCCCCACCCCCTTATTTCTCCTTTTAAATTAACAAAGCAAGAGAAGAAAACATATAATTAGGGAATTCCCAACATCAGTCTGAGAAGCTTACTTGCATCATTGCTCGAGGATTTGAAGTGTAAGTCGTCTCAATTGTTGATTCCTTCTGCAGCCCATGAATAAAACAGTATGATTTTAAATTACAAAGAGATATAGCCAGCAAAGAAAAGCATTCACTCATGCAAGATAACCAAAAATATTTGGAGTTGAGATTATTACCTCAACTTCAAACCCATAATTTAGCGCAACTCTTTTTACATCTTCCAAACTCAGTTCAATGGACATCTCCTAAAGGAAAAGGAATAAATACAATGAGAAGAAACCAACATCAAATCAGCACCTAATACACTTCGTTACAAATGTATATTGGAGAAAAATGAAGCTTACATCTTCTTGTCCGTACATATCGGCAAAATGATATAGTAGTGGTCCCAGATTTATCCAAACCTGTCATCGCCAAACTGAGTGAGCTAATTCCAAGGTGAAGCTAAAGGAAAAGGTACAAAGTGATTCAAACAGCTTCAAGGAACTCACTCCCCCATCTTTCAAAATCCTTGATATGATTTCAATATATTCAACAATATTGTGTGCCGTATCAATAAAAAAACAAGTGACAACTGCATCCCAAACTCCTGCATGTAATACAAGTACTCTCAATAAGAATTCACTTCAATGCAATAATGTTGCAGGAATAATATGTGTCTATGATCACAGTTATTAAACCCAGCAACCTGCTCCTTAGCCCAGTTGGGAGGGAAAAAAAAACCCTACCTAAAGTTGACAGGGTTGACTAAGTGGGTCAACCTGATCAAAACTTGTTTTGACCCTTTTTTTTTAAAAAAAAGATCAAAACAATGTCATTTTAGCTTAAAAATTTAAATTATGTCGTTTTGATTGACCCAAGTTAACCTGACCAACCCATAGACTCGAGCCTTGGGCTGGGTCATGGGCCGAGCCAAACCGGGGTTAATAACTTTGCCTATGATACCATCTCTAGTTTTCTGCAAAATAAATCAATATTGCATAAATAAAAGTTTCCTTAGCAGGGAACAAAATATATTAAATTATTATCTTCCCACTTCAGTGGCCTAAAGTTCCAACTATTAGTTGTAGCATGAAACATTAAAAGGAAATAAATTCTCCTACCTACTTGACTTGGATCACTATACACTTCAACAAAGTCACCGCCACACATGGAGAAACCTTCAGTAATCCCTGCACTGCTTGTCATGAAAGTCAATAAGGATTTAAAACTAAAACAGCAAATGGTAACTGTTAAAAAATTTTCCGTAAAGATTTTGAAGGTGAAACAACATGAAGTGCAGCCTGAATACCTTGCTGGATGAATATCTGGTATTGAAACAGGACGGAGTTGGTCACTATCTGAAAGTGAATTGCAATTGCTATGGATCCAAGGATATATAGTCCACTCTCCTGCAGTCCCGGTCCTAATACAATAAGAAAGAGAGAAAGTGAATCTTTTGCAGATTACCTTGCATCACTGTCAGGATGATAGATATAATAAGATTAGCAAGAAATTGTTAAAAAGTTCTTACTGGTTAAGAATAAAACTTGAGCATATCATCATGTAGTATGAAAATTCATTTCCCTGGCTAACAAAACCTTCATTATCATATGATAAGTGTTAGGCTCAACCTAAAGTTGCCAAGGTAGAATTTGTAAGAACTTCGCATCTTTAATACATACCCAGACATGAAATCTCCAAGGCCAGACGTCCAAGACCAGCACCAGGAACTAAACAAGTAGGAGGACTGTACAATGAAATTTATGGTTTATAGTAGAAAAAACATTATTCCCACAAGAGAGTATACATCATTCTCTATTTCACAGTCGCCAAGCATGAAATTGCATTCCCAAAATGAAAAACACAATACAAGGAAATTATGTACCTCTTGTTGGAACGATCAGGGAATAAAGAATTGAGCTCTTCGAGAATAGGCTTGTAGCACTGATCACGTTCTCTCTGTCCCTGCATCAGTGTAGGAATGAGGGAACATGTAAGCCTTGGCTCAAAAATCATAGATGACGAGTTAGAAACAGTAAAGCAATGAAGCATCATTACCTCTGCTGCCCAGTCTCTTACTATGTTCCTTATTATACAACGGACCTATGAAATGACCGAAAAATGGCAGCATTAATTTATAACCATAAAGTTTCCACAAACAACACATCAAAGGCATCTTGTTTGTGCGAGATGCAATTTTCTTTCTTCATATTTCCCATCCATTATATGCTAAAGACATGAAAAATGCATCAGTTTTTGCTCATCATTATCAATCAAGAATCCATCTTGATTCCCCCAAACAATAATTTCCAATGTTGAAATGTTCTG